TTACAACATTGATAATGGTTTGCATGCCTTGGACTTATCTCTTTAAGTCTTGAGGACCTAGAAATAGTTGAAAGTGATAGAAGGGTTATTGTTTGGATTGGTGGTCAGGAGATCAAGATGGTCAATCAAGATCGGACCCGTGATTTTCTCAAGAATAACTCCAGTTCTTATTGTTCCATTGGCATTTGCATACGATTACATGGTTTCAAGAGCACTAGCCATTGCTTCTGGAGTCACCATGGACAGCTGTTGTCCCCTCTGCATATATGTAAATTTTTTTTTTTTTTTTCAAAATCATGTATTAGGCTTGATATGTATTGGTTAGGACCAGTCCTCGCCTAGGTCGGGACCAATCCCTGCCCAGGTCTAGGAATATATATATTTGATTGTTTACTCCAACCAAAATATAGGGTGTAATGGGTGGGAATTCTCATTACCTCAATGATGGTGTCAATTGATTGGCCTATATAGTCACATACTCGACATACATAGTCGATGTCATCTTTTAAGATAAAAATATGCTCACCCGGTTCTTTTTCCATCTGAGCTGGCTGTTCAACCACATCCTACAAGAAAGGGCGAAAAAAAAAATTGACTGAGAAGAATGTTTTGTTGGGTTTAATAGAAATAAATAGATAAATGACATAAAAAATTAGAAAGACCAGAGTATCCTGGATTAGGAAGATTCCAAAGCCATTGCCATATCCTCCCAAAGTTGCGCCAAATCGTCTGCTTCAGTTTTGGCACTGGAGTGTTTTGCATCATTAGACATTTTAACTTAAAAAAACTTAAGAAATGAAGAGTTGTAGAGAACAACTAACAAATATTTGATTGTTCGCGACAAAAACAAAATATGAACGATAATATGGATAGAGTTTACCTTGAGAGAAGAAGGAAAAAACGTGCCTGAGCGTGGAGGTCCAAAATGGCATTACCCTGAGAGAATAATGAAAAAGGGTGCAAAGACAGCGCAAAGGTCCAAAAATGGCATGATATTCATATTCTGACTCTAGATCTGGAGAAGCTGCAAGTTTGAGATTTAGAGTCATCAATGATCAAAATAGAAGATTAATTAAATAAATATTTCATTACATTACTTTCACCTACTTTCTATGTGTTATTAAATATTGGAAAATTCCAGTCAAATTATATAAACAATCTAATTAAATCATCACCCCTTAACCTCATCTAATTAACGTGTCTTTGTCATATATATTTAACAAATATAACAAAGTAGAATCATTCCAAAGATGAATTATTTTATGTTTGTATAAGAATCCAATAGTTGCAGTGATGAGTGGTCATTTTACACTTCACATCTCTCCCCAAAATAGATAAAACAAGCTCATCTTGAAAACCCAAATCAACTTACCATTATGAATTAATAAAACAAATCAATGAAGAAACTCCACTTGTTCTTCATCTCCACTCTTGGAATAGGCAATCTTGTTCCACCTGTTGAGTTTGCTTGTCTTGTAACCAAACACACCCTCGGTTTTCTACCATCATTCTCATCATCACCGTCCCTAAACGACCCCCTTACATAATTTTTTTCGCCCTTTAAATATAAAAAAAATTGGGGAAGGAGTCAAAAATAATTTTCTAAGCCCATAAGACCGATCCTATGGGCCTAGGACCCGTCTTAGGGACTGGTCCAGGTCCTAAAATTTCTCTGGGCGACTGGTCTCAATCGGGCCCAAATTTGGGCCCGGTTGGGACCGATCCTTGCCCAGGTCGGGACCGGTCCCTGCCCAGGTCTAAGAATATATATATTTGATTGTTTACTCCAACCAAATATAAGGTGTAATAGGTGGGAATTCTCATTACCTCAATGATAGTGTCAATTGATTGGGCTATATAGCCACATACTCGACATACATAGCTGATGTCATCTTTTAAGATAAAAATATGCTCACTCGGTTCTTTTTCCATCTGAGCTGGCTGTTCAACCACATCCTACAAAAAAGGGCGAAAAAAAATTTGACTGAGAAGAATGTTTTGTCTGGTTTAACAAAAATGAATAGATCAATGATATATAAAATTAGAAAGACCAGAGTACCTTGGATTTTGAAGATTCCAAAGCCATTGCGATCTCCCCCCAAAGTTACGCAAATCGTCTGCTTCAGTTTTGGCACTGGATTGTTTTGCATCATTAGACATTTTAACTTCACAAAAACTTAAGAAATGAAGAGTTGTAGAAAACAACTAACAAATATTTGATTGTTCGCAACAAAAATAAAATATGAACGATAATATGTATAGAGTTTACCTTGAGAGAAGAAGGAAAAAGCGTATCTGAGCGTAGAGGTCCAAAATGGCATTACCTTGAGAGAAGAATGAAAAAGGGTGTAAAGACAACGTAGAGGTCCAAAAATGGCATGATATTCATATTCTGACTCTAGATCTGGAGAAGCTGCAAATTTGAGATTTAGAGTCATCAATGATCAAAGTAGAAGATTAATTAAATAAATATTTCATTAAATTACTTTCACCTACTTTCTATGTGTTATTAAATATTGGAAAATTCCAGTCAAATTACATAAACAATCTAATTAAATTATCACCCCCTAACCTCATCTAATTAACGTGTCTTTGTCATATATATTTAACAAATATAACAAAGTAGAATCATTCCAAAGATGAATTATTTTATGTTTGTATAAGAATCCAATAGTTGCAGTGATGAGTGGTCATTTTACACTTCACATATCTCCCCAAAATAGATAAAACAAGCTCATCTTGAAAACCCAAATCAACTTACCATTCTGAATTAATAAAAAAAATCAATGAAGAAACCCCACCTGTTCTTCATCTCCACTCTTGGAATAGGCAATCTTGTTCCCCTTGTTGAGTTTGCTCGTCTTGTAACCAAACACCACCCTTGGTTTTCTACCACTATTCTCATCTTCACCGTCCCTAAACGACCACCCACTTACATAATTTTTTTGGCCCCTTAAATATAAAAAAAATTGTGGAAGTAGTGAAAAATAATTTTCTAAGCCCATAAGACCGGTCCTATGGGCCTAGGACCAATCCTAGGGACTGGTCCACGTCCTAAAATTTTTCTGGGTGACTGGTCCCAATCGGGCCTGAACTTGGGCCCGATTGGGACCGATCCTTGCCCAGGTCGGGACCGGTCCTTGCCCAGGTCTAGGAATATATATATTTGATTGTTTACTCCAACCAAAATATAAGGTGTAATGGGTGGGAATTCTCATTACCTCAATGATGGTGTCAATTGATTTGCCTATATAGCCACATACTCGACATACATAGCCGATGTCATCTTTTAAGATAAAAATATGCTCACCCGGTTCTTTTTCCATCTGAGCTGGCTGTTCAGCCACATCCTACAAAAAAGGGCGAAAAATAATTTGACTGAGAAGAATGTTTTTTGGGGTTTAACAGAAATGAATAGATAAATGATATATAAAATTAGAAAGACTAGAGTGCCTTGGATTTGGAAGATTCCAAAGCCATTGCCATCTCCTCCCAAAGTTACGCCAAATGTCTGCTTCAGTTTTGGCACTGGAGTGTTTTGCATCATTAGACATTTTATCTTCACAAAAACTTAAGAAATGAAGAGTTGTAGAGAACAACTAACAAATATTTGATTGTTCGCAACAAAAATAAAATATGAACGATAATATGTATAGAGTTTACCTTGAGAGAAGAAGGAAAAAGTGTGCCTGAGCGTACCAAAATGGCATTACCCTAAGAACGGAATGAAAAAGGGTGCAAAGACAACGCAAAGGTCCAAAAATGGCATGATATTCATATTCTAACTCTAAATCTAGAGAAGCTACAAGTTTGAGATTTGGAGTCATCAATGATCAAAGTAGAAGATTAATTAAATAAATATTTCATTAAATTACTTTCACCTACTTTCTATGTGTTATTAAATATTGGAAAATTCCAGTCAAATTACATGAACAATCTAATTAAATCATCACCCTCTAACCCCATCTAATTAACGTGTCTTTGTCATATATATTTAACAAATACAACAAAGTAGAATCATTCCAAAGATGAATTATTTTATATTTGTATAAGAATCCAATAGTTACGGTGATGAGTGGTCATTTTACACTTCACATCTCTCCCCAAAATAGTTAAAACAAGTTCATCTTGAAAACCCAAATCAACTTACCATTCTGAAATAATAAAACAAATCAATGAAGAAACTCCACCTGTTCTTCATCTCTACTCTTGGAGTAGGCAATCTTATTCCACCTGTTGAGTTTGTTCGTCTCTTAATCAAACACCATTGTCGGTTTTCTACCTCCATTCTCATAATCACCGTCCCTAAATGACCCCCTTGCATAATTTTTTTTGCCCCTTAAATATAAAAAAGATTGGGGAAGGAGTGAAAAATAATTTTCTAAGCCCATAAGACCGATCCTATAGGCCTAGGACCAGTCCTAGGGACCGGTCCAGGTCCTAAAATTTCTCTGGGCGACTGGTCCCAATCGGGCCCAAACTTGGGTCCGGTTTGGACCGGTCCTTGCCCAGGTCAGGACCGGTCCCTGCCTCGATCTAGGAATATATATATTTGATTGTTTACTCCAACCAAAATATAAGGTGTAATGGGTGGGAATTCTCATTACCTCAAATCTTTGTTGGGTTTATCATCATATTACAACTACCAATTATTTAAACCAAAAACCAAATTTTATTGTGGAACATGAAAAAGAAAAAAAAAATATTGGGTTAATCTTTGCTAAAGGTTTAGATTAGATCATTACTATTTTCTGTTTGGTTGATGAGAAAAATATGTGATGAGAAGTTGAAGTGTTTTTTGTTTTGGCTATATAGTTATTTTATTCCTGATTTGCAAAGTTAAATTTCTGGACAAAAACTTTCAAAACAGAACCAATTATCAAATTAGCACAAATCCTATACATAACAAATATTAAACCTTATTACTAATAATTCTTAAAACCAACTGCTAGGATCACTTCAGCNGTCCTCGCCTAGGTCGGGACCAATCCCTGCCCAGGTCTAGGAATATATATATTTGATTGTTTACTCCAACCAAAATATAGGGTGTAATGGGTGGGAATTCTCATTACCTCAATGATGGTGTCAATTGATTGGCCTATATAGTCACATACTCGACATACATAGTCGATGTCATCTTTTAAGATAAAAATATACTCACCCGGTTCTTTTTCCATCTGAGCTGGCTGTTCAACCACATCCTACAAAAAATGGCGGAAAAAAAATTGACTGAGAAGAATGTTTTGTTGGGTTTAACAAAAATAAATAGATAAATGATATAAAAAATTAGAAAGACCAGAGTACCCAAGATTAGGAAGATTCCAAAGCCATTGCCATCTCCTCCCAAAGTTGCGCCAAATCATCTGCTTCAGTTTTGGCACTGGAGTGTTTTGCATCATTAGACATTTAAACTTAAAAAAACTTAAGAAATGAAGAGTTGTAGAGAACAACTAACAAATATTTGATTGTTCGCAACAAAAACAAAATATGAACGATAATATGGATAGAATTTACCTTGAGAGAAGAAGGAAAAAGCGTGCCTAAGCGTGGAGGTCCAAAATGGCATTACCCTGAGAGAAGAATGAAAAAGGGTGTAAAGACAGCGCAAAGGTCCAAAAATGGCATGATATTCATATTCTGACTCTAGATCTGGAGAAGCTGCAAGTTTGAGATTTAGAGTCATCAATTATCAAAATAGAAGATTAATTAAATAAATATCTCATTAAATTACTTTCACTTACTTTCTATGTGTTATTAAATATTGGAAAATTCCAGTCAAATTATATAAACAATCTAATTAAATCATCACCCCCTAACCTCATTTAATTAACGTGTCTTTGTCATATATATTCAACAAATATAACAAAGTAGAATCATTCCAAAGATGAATTATTTTATGTTTGTATAAGAATCCAATAGTTTCAGTGATGAGTGGTCATTTTACACTTCACATCTCTACCCAAAATAGATAAAACAAGCTCATCTTGAAAACCCAAATCAACTTACCATTATGAATTAATAAAACAAATCAATGAAGAAACTCCACTTGTTCTTCATCTCCACTCTTGGAATAGGCAATCTTGTTCCACCTGTTGAGTTTGCTCGACTTGTAACCAAACACACCCTCGGTTTTCTACCACCATTCTCATCATCACCGTCCCTAAACGACCCCCTTACATAATTTTTTTCGCCCTTTAAATATAAAAAAAAATGGGGAAGGAGTCAAAAATAATTTTCTAAGCCCATAAGACCGATCCTATGGGCCTAGGACCCGTCCCCAGGTCCTAAAATTTCTCTGGGCGACTGGTCCCAATCGGGCCCAAATTTGGGCCCGGTTGGGACCGATCCTTACCCAGGTCGGGACCGGTCCTTGCCCAGGTCTAGGAATATATATATTTGATTGTTTACTCCAACCAAAATATAAGGTGTAATAGGTGGGAATTCTCATTACCTCAAATCTTTGTTGGGTTTATCATCATATTACAACTACCAATTATTTAAACCAAAAACCAAATTTTATTGTGGAACATGAAAAAGAAAAAAAAAATATTGGGTTAATCTTTGCTAAAGGTTTAGATTAGATCATTACTATCTTCTGTTTGGTTGATGAGAAAAATATGTGATGAGAAGTTGAAGTGTTTTTTGTTTTGGCTATATAGTTATTTTATTCCTGATTTGCAAAGTTAAATTTCTGGACAAAAACTTTCAAAACAGAACCAATTATCAAATTAGCACAAATCCTATACATAACAAATATTAAACCTTATTACTAATAATTCTTAAAACCAACTGCTAGGATCACTTCAGCATTCCATTCCACATGCTCAAAAGGTCGCAGTTGGTTTTAGCTCCCAAGGAACAATCGACAATAACCTGCAAATACAACGATGCACCGACTTCTTATTGTGTAGACAATAAAGTGGAATGAAGTAACGAATGAATGGTACGTCATACGTGTGGATGTGGCAATGTAGAAGTAGTGCGCAAAATTGTTTGGGGACAATTCCATTTACATGAATAAAGCATCATATTTCCAATAGAATTTCTTATTACTAAAGTGTTTTTTTCTTTTTTTTTTTCTTTTTGGCTACTTGTTTCACCATTTGTTTTCCTGCTAAGAAAGTTCAAGAAAGTGAATAAAAATAATTTTTACGATTAAAACTGTATAAAAGAACTTACTCTCTCTCCCCTTTGTTTATAAATAATAAACTTAGTCTCCAATCTCCTCTCACTCTATTTTCTCCATGGCTACGCTAAACTATAAGTTCCACTAAATACTCTACTCTCTCTCTCTCCTTTCGCTCTGTTTGCATCCCCCATAGCTAAACCAAGGTTTTTTTTTTTTTTTTTTTTTTTTAATATTTTGATGATTTAGTGAGAAAAGCTAAAGACAATCGGCTTACTACACTTGATATCTATTATTTGCTTAACGACCATGAAAAACATCATAAGATGACCCGCAACTAGTCACAAGAAATGCCTAACTAGCCACAAATGACGCCTCTAAGTAAGATTTATTTAACGTCTTCATTTTTTGTTTTTATATTTTGTTTTATAAACTTACATGTACATTACTTTCTAATTTCAAGTGGTACAATCTTCTTAATAAGGAAGAACCATGATAAACATTTTAAAAATGATGGTTATAATTGGATTATGAAATCAACTCATGGGTAGTTCAAACATGATAAAAAGTTGTACGTTTCTCGGTTTCTTGTCTACAAGAGAACGAAAAGTTTATAAGACACATCTATTGGATGAATGACCACTGAAACACTTTTTAAATTTTTTGGTTTTCTATTTTTTATTGATTGTTTGATTTTTATGCCGAATTTTATTGCAGAGCGATTTCAAAAATGGTTCTATTTCACTACATAGAGGAAGAGCTAGAACTAGAAGCAATGGTCAGTATTTTTATATTTTTCCCTTGACGGAGGAATCTATTTCTTAATGATAATGTAGTGAGGCATAATAATTTTATGCCATTTGAGTTTCAACAATATAAATTAAACTTGTGCAAGCTTAGATGACATTATATTGATACCTAGGATTAATAACCATGTGCATTAATATATGAGTAGATAAGTATATTTTTATGGTGAATACTGTTAGTTTAGTTTGTATTTATTTGAGTGGTGACCAATCATCCATATTCATGAATAATTTTGTTTCCTACTTATTTGGAAGTCAAAACTTAATTTATTTATTTTAATTATCTACTAATTATTAGAGGAAAAGGAAAAGAAGTGGCAAGGGAATTGTGGGAGATCCTACTGAGGAGTGAATTGATGGAGATCTTGCTAAGGAGGCAATATTCAGTCAATTCTGGTTTTCAATGCTTCCTTTTCTCTTTACCTACATTTAATGATTTTCAAATTTAGGATGAACCTATTGATACAAAAACCATGTCGCACACGATTCGAAGAGCTATTGTGTATACAGCTAGTGAATCCAAATTATAATTCCAAGACTATGACTGATATAATTGGAACTAAGACTAAGCTCAAACCACTGCTGAAAGAAGACGATCAGGATATGTTAGACCTTTTGGCACAGTTGAATACTTCTTCGGAGGTAGTAGCTGAATGGTTTCATTAGAGTTATCTAAAGGAGAAGAAGTATTTATGGTGCTTTCATAAGCTAAGGGAAGGCAAAATTGTCTTAACTGAGTCAAGTTGGTGTGGCCTAGGTGCATAGCATTTTGTAGCTGCCCTGGGTTACAAATGGGTCGTTGAAGCAATAAGCATTGCAAGTGATGGAAGTAAAGATTTATTTTCCCTTGATGACAAGGCATGGATTCCACTACACTAGGCATCACATTTTGGCATGATGGAGATAGCAGAATTTCTCATTCAAAGAGGTGAAGCTATCGCATTAGTAGATGAGCCCAAACTTGCTGATTTGGCTGCTGCAACAGGATACGAAGGACTTAGTGACTATCTTGAAAAGCAAGAAAAGATCTTCAAGGCGACCTTCCCAGAGCTTAGCAGTCATGATGACAAAATGCGAATGAAATGATGAGATCCTGATTTGCATGGCGAAGAGAGCTAAATTTTTGGACAAAAAGTGTTTTTTTTTTTTTAAAGATAATGACAAGATCAATTAAGAAGACCATGGGTATGGATGGTGGATTGATCTTGTTTTTGTTTTGAATTAAATACATTAATTGATATAGATTATTACTAAACTTTCCAATAAGCATTTGTTTAATATGCTTGTTAAATGAATTAATGGTGGGTTATGCATACTCTCTTCATATGTAATGGAATGCAAATTCTTCATTGAATTCCAAATGGGTGGAGTATATAAACAAAATTTTATTTTTTATTTATTTGATTGCTAAGAAAATGTGGAGAATGAATGGATAGAACCTTGAGTTTCTATTTTCTTAACATTTCCAACTTACATCTCATGGTTGAACCACTTTGAAAGCTTGCTCATGAATCACTTGTTTCAGTTCCTTTTTCTGGGTCTTGTAATGATTTTATATTTTGGCAATGTCAATATCTTTTAGGCTTTCGGCCTTTGTACATAACTTGGATCCATGATTCTGATTGAAGTTGGTATGCAATTTAATGCTTCAATTATTAAATATTGTATGAAGTATACAAACAAAGATAACTAAAATAAATTACTACAAATTAAGAAAGAGACTAACACACCTATTATTGGTTACAATTAGGCAACCTTTGAACTCTCTTGAGAAAGTTGTAACTATGATGACCATGATGTGCCATAGGGTTGCCAAAGTTTCTAAGAACACTCCTTGTATGACTGTTGACAATCCTTTTAGAAGTTAAACCATCCAGTAATGCCCATGCTGAAAAAGTTTCAAAAAATAAGCCTCAATATCCCCAGGCACGAAAGTTTTCCATTACAGTCCCAGAACTTTTCCAATAAGCTATATATCAGTTATAACACCAGTATTTAATTTGAATTCTCTTACCCAATGGTAGTCTTTATTATCGTAATCTTTCAGCACCTATATCTTTATCTGGGTATGTAATGGAACGGGATCCTCTCAAACTAATCAATGAAATTTTTTTATGCATACTATACAGTACTCCACATTTGGACGACGAGTCCACTTAAGTTCTTCTTCTATGAAATTGAAAGATACAATCATCGTCTTGTATTGGTTACCTCCTTAGAGAAAATACATCCAATGCATATCTCCATATGCACTTACTCCACATGAACTTAAAACACAAGAAGGGTTTGAGGAGATTCGAGTCACGAATTTGTACCCAAAGTGTAAACTTGAGTCTTGAATTGCAGTCTCATATAATAAGCACCCGAGATCGTGAACAACCTTGTATGTGTTAGGGCATCTCCAACCCAACACCATTTGGGTGTAAAACACCAAAATGTTGTGGAAATTTTGCTCCAACCCAACACCAAAAGCTACACCAAATTCGTGTGCATGAATAGTATCACACCAAATTTGGTGTAACACTATTCATCCACACCAATTTGGTGTGACATTATTCATCTACTACAAAACATATTTTATTTCCTTATTTTTGTTATTTAATTTTTTTAATTTGTATTTATGTTAATTTGATTACTATTTATATTAATATTTATAATAGTAAATTCATAA